TCTAGAGAAGTTTTTACTCAGTAATGACATTATTACTCTGAATTAACTTGCAAGTCGATCACTTTTCCTGTTGGATAGTTGCATGACTACGTTTTTCATAGAATGGAATACAGATGGTTGCGAGAGGTTCTGCGAGAGGTTCTGGTTGGCTGGCTGCCTTTTGTTCTACTATTCAGTCTGTCTGTGCTTTATGTCTCTGTGACAGCGCTGAGATCTGTGACTATTGGAGGCTTTCTGTGTATTTTTGGGGCCGATTAAAAATTGAGCTCGTTTTGCTGATATTTTTTTTGGTGCTGGCCTCCTTCAACCCACAAGGGGAGGATCAGTGATGAACTGTACTTTGTTTGATGGTAATTGGAACTGTGCTGACCCTGGGCAGTTCTTTGGTCGAGCCTTAGCTAAGGGGAAAGATAGACATGGAAATAAAGTGCTCATTCAAGCCTCTTGTCATCTTCACAACATAAACTTTACAAAAGTCTTCAGGTCCCCAGTTGTACTAGTACGTAGTTGTAAGGCTTTGGAAATGACAAGGAAGTAGTGGAAGTGATCCTCTAAAGCAGGGGTCTCAAACTCCCGGCCCGCGGGCCAAATCCGGCCCGTCACGTCATTTTATGTGGCCCGCGAATCCGCCAGCAAAAAAAATAAAAAATAAAAAATTTAAAGTTAGACTTGATAATAAAAATATCCCCATAGTCGAAATTATGAGATAGAAAGTCATGAATATGATAGAAAGTCATAATTCTGAGATAGAAAGTCAAAATGATGAGATACTATGATTGTGAGTACATTGAAGACTTTAAACGTGGCTTTACAACACATGAAATACTTCACGTGGGATTGTGCAAACGCACCCTTGAAAGGATTTTAAGCAATGAATAAAGTTATTGTAATAACTTGTGTTTGATATTTGTCTTCGCTATTTTCTTTAATAGTTTGATCATTGATAGAGTAATGTGGGTTTCTTATCCCTAAATTAAAAGGATTTAAGTTATAATAACAGAAATGTGCTTAAATATATTTTTACATTTATATAACGGCATGTACAATATTTTTACACTTGAATAAACAATAATCAAATGCAGAGACAGTTATTTACCAATATGTTAGGGAGTAGATACATTTACACCGTCTTACATTTACAACCGGCCCTTTGAGGGCGACCGTGATGCTGATGTGGCCCAGAGTGAAAATGAGTTTGAGACCCCTGCTCTAAAGGCAGATGCTTCTCTGTCATGTGCTGCAGTATGTGCTGTATGTGAGCAGGGAGGACCTGTAGCTACATAGAAGATTATGTTGTAGCCAATGTGCACTGCCTAAAATATAGAAATACATTTTAGGGCTAAGAGCTTACCTGGACACCACAAGAACTGTGACTGCTCAGCGACAGCTGCTTTGTTGTAGTGTGTGCTGTTAAAGGTAGCATGATTCAGGTCGAAGAAAGACGACTCGGTAAAGCTTTAGATTACTGCCCGCAATTTACTGCGTAATTACTCTGGAGCTATGATGTAATCTTTTGTAATAACGGTGTACCAAAGTGAACTGTGGCTCAGAGGTACGGCGGGTAGTCTTCCAATCAGAAGATCGATCCCTGGCTCCTCCAGTACGCATGTCAAAGGGTCCTTGGGCAAGACACTGAACCCCAAATTGCTCCCAACGGCGATGCCATCGGTGTGTGATTGTGTGTGAATGGGTGAATGATGTAGTGTACAGCGCTTTGAGGGGAAAGAAGGCTAGAAAGGTGCTATACAAATACAAATCCGTTTACCATTTACTATATGTAGGTACTGGGGAATATAACACCTTGTTCTCATCTTCTGGAGCAAAGTGGGAAAACTTCCTTCCCCAAAAGCTATGCGGGGACTGAGCAACTGAAGTGTTTAGCCTCTTGAAACTAGCCTTGACATCTATGTAATCATGGATAGCAGGCTGTGCTACACAGCACTACTTAGTCTTCTCTGCCGCTGGCCATGGTGCTGGAACCGGTTGACACCAGTTGTGTTAGGATGCCACCAATAACTTGGCCCAATGGATTTGGTTGATAATTCTGTATAGTCAGTAATGCACATTTTAAAAGAGGATTTCGATAAAATGTAAGGAAGTGACTGTTGGGTGCCGGCTGCATTGTGTGAGTAGCGGCATCTGTCTTGTGTTTGGAGCGTGTGTCTGTGTGTGATGCTCAGTGGGAGCATAAGCAGACTGGCTGAGAGGAAAGTGCTCTTTAGAAGAATGACACACATCATATTCCGTCATTGCCACTGACCCCGACTGGGTGGCCGGGTTGAAACAGGCGGTGCTTCCTTAAAAGGAGGGAGCTCTTGGAAGCAAGGCGTTAGACGTCTTCCTTAGTTATTTTAAACCCTAATCCTAACTAAGTAGTTTTATTGCCTGAACCTAACTATGTTGAAGATGGAAGTTTATTTCGAAATGCATGTAAGCATGTAACTGACACGTGTTGCTGGCTTTCATTGGAAAACACACAAAAAAGTCTTTGTGTGATATTATGTGAACTGTATGAGGATACATTGACAGGGTATGCAGTCTATAATCTTATGCAGTTAGTCCCCACCTTAATTTAGTTAGTTAGATGGTAACTACAGAGCACACATGTCGATGTGTCCTTGGGCAAGACGCGTAACCCTAAATTGCTCCCGTAGTCTGTGTCTGCAGTATATGAATGTTTCATGAATGTTCGATAGTTCTATACAAGTACAAGTCCATATACCATTTACCAAATGTCCGATATGAGATTGGTTGAATCCAGGTCTCTTCCTCAGTGGTGGGCACCCTGTTAGTGTGATTTTTGTCGAATGTGTGCGTGTTAAGATGAGATGTAAACTTCTGTTCTGTCCTGTTTCATTTTTGGCAGTCAAATATTTATCCATTTTGGCAACCAATCATTTTGTTTTGGAACCATGCTTTAAATGTATTAAGCAGAATGCATCTTTCCTGTGAGCTTGTCAGCTCTTCATGAAACAAGAAAGATAAGAAAGTTAAGACAATGACTATTCAGTTAATGTTGTTAATGTTGCAACTCTTAATCAATCAGTTTGAACTCTAAAAAGAGTAGCGCAAACACACCAATGGATTATTTGTGTCTGACAGCTCTGTCAGGTTGTTGTGTCCCTGTTTCTGTCTCACTGACCTGCACCAGATATGTCTCAACTGTATTAATGCCTAGATAATACATCTGTCATCCAGTATTCATACAACTGTATTTAAATACTAACTCTGGTTTCAGTGTCTACATGAAATACATGCACACTCATGTCATAATCTATAACATCAGAGTGGAAACTTTTCACTCTAATTTAATGGTACAAGATAAAAAAAAGTCAGAAGATTCATCTTGGGACCATGAACATCCGTACAAAATTGCATGGCAATCCATCCAATAGTTTAATATATCTTGCTCTGGACAGTGGTGGATCATTGCCATCCCTGGAGTTCTGCTGCATGTGGCTAAAAGTGTAGCATAGTGCTAGCCTTATCCTCTAAATTAATTAACAAAGTGTTCTAAGATAATATAAATACATTGTAGGTTTTGTCGACGTTTAGTTGTGAAAGGCGTTACAGTGTTATATTGGCAGGTTATGTCTTGGCAATAGGGTCAATATCTGCTCTTTATGTCAGCAAGGAACCACAAGGGTAGTTTCTCCTGTGATGATGATTACTGCTTTTTGAGAGTTGTGGAGAGTCTTACGGTATCTTTAGCTGCCTCGGCCCTTGCTGTAGAGCATGTTGGTTGGTTGGCTGTAGGAATTATGACCAATGACTACTTGACAATTAGGAGTTCAGTGGGTGGTGGTTTGATGCCCCTGGGCTGTGCGTCCATGTGCTACTGCACTGGGATATTAAAGTGGAATTACAGCAAACCACAGGATTGTGCTACAGCTGATGACAGGCCAGTTTCTCACACGGGTAGTTTTTTTTATGAAAAGAGGCTTGCAGGGATCCCTCTGGCCTGAATTCCATTAATGAAATGTCCCATAAAGTATATTGGTTCAAAGAGCGGAAGAACAAGGACGCAGGGCATTACATTTGTATTTGAAGTAAACCAAAACTGCATACTATTAAGGGCGAGAACAATTTGAAGTTGCTTCTTTGTACAAGCAGCCTGGTCTCACTAAAAGCCCATCAATAAAACACTGCTTGGTCAGAGGCCTCCAGTGTCATGATACCGAACAAAAGGCACCCTTTAGTGTCTGTATGAAATGCATCAGACTTTAAACTCCAATCAAAGCCCATCTGCGTCATTATCACATGCTCAAAGCAATGGGCATTGTATTAGGAGAGGTCATCTAAGGACGGGAGGGTGTGGTGGTGGATGGGTCAAACAAACATGACTTTTACTCAGGGGACCAGCATTCGTGTCCCATGTGAAACCAAATGTTGAGTGATTTTTACCGACAGCATGATGTCACATGCCGTTGTGTCAGTTTGAAGTGTTTGCTGACATGATACCCGAGTTTCAATACCACTAACAAAATTATACTTTTTCAATGATTAACTTTGATAAATATTGTTTTCCTCTTGACCCTTTTCCATTTAAAGGCAGGGTTGGTGCTGTTGAGAAAATAGCAAGAGTATGCTAGATTTAATTATCTAACCGAAAAACCCAGCTCTGTGTCGCCAACTCTTTTCCAATGAAAGTAGCAGCACTAGCTCCAAAGGTTGCTCAATCTAGCTCAGGTGGAGCTCAGGTGGAGCACAATGAACGGATTGGACGGGCTGGATCAAATGCTCTTTTTTCCAGTGCATTTCATCATTGTTTGCTCTCAGGATGAAATGAGAATTTCATCAAAAATATTAATAATATTTTGAGGAAGATTACCAACCCTGCCCTTTAACACAAAAGCCCATGTTCTCAAATGTTAAACTTTACCTACTTGCCTGTTTGATATACCTGCTATGCACACATTTAAAGTTGGGGACACTAGAGCCCAGAGTGACCGCCTCTCTCTCTCTCTCTCTCCCTCTCTCTCTCTCTCTCTCTCTCACAGGAGGAAGCTATAAGAAGATTGGATACTACGACAGCACTAAAGGCAATCTGTCCTGGTATGGGAATGACAAGTGGATAGGTGAGGGACATTCATCTTCCTCAGCGCCTTTATTTTCCTCTTTCTCACTGTCTGTTGCTCTCCTCCCTTCGAATCTCCTGTTTTCTCTGACCCTGCAGCTTCGCCCTCTCTTCCTCTAATTCCTCTTTCCTTCCACCATTGTTGCACTCTCCTCTCTGTCTCCCTTCCACACTTTACATACAAGGTTGGCTGCAAATGTTCATTGATAAATCAGTCAGGTTTTATTAAGCATGTGAGAACAGCTAAGTGATGCAGCAGCAAATAGAGCCACAGTTAAGGGCTTCATTTGGGCCGATGTGCTATGGAGCGACAATTTCACTCCATTTGCTAATTAAAGATGAGAACCACTTCAAAGCTATGACAGCTATGTAATAAATAGAAGATACTAGTTGACAGTCTAAACAAAACAGGAGAAAGCAATCTGTGTGGCGGTGTAATGGGATTGGGTCCCATGACCTTGACTTTGAGGAATGAAATTGTGTTCCCTAATCAGTACACAGGGGAGCTCTGTGTGTCCATGTCTGTTCTGCCTCCCTGAACACTGACAAGATGCAGATCTAAAAGTGAGTCATGCCCTGAAAACTGTGGAGGATTTTGCAAGTCTGATAAATGGAAAACAAAACTGAGTGATGCAATGGTCAATGACAGGACGGGGTGGTAGATATGGATCGACCTTCAGTTGTTTATTCAGTTTGCTTGTTTGTCGACTGTCTGTCGCGAGTGCTTTCTCAGACGGAGCTGATTGGATTTCCTGTCAGAATTACATTGATCGTTTCAGGATGGGGGAGGTGGGTGTGAGGCAACTATTCTAGAACTAGACAAGGTGAAACGTTGGTTGCTGACTGGAAGAATGGTGGAAGTGTAATTTGGTAAACAATATTACATTTTACATTTCTATTTTGAATGACCATACCAGTGCTTTTGAATGTCCTTTATTACAAATACCACTTACATACTATCAATGAAAAATTATTTAGAATTTACCACAGTAGAAGAGAGAAGCAGGCAGTTTGTTTGGGATTGTTTCTGTTATTAGAAGGAGATTTAGTTTCATATTTCTTCTGATCTAATCCTGTTGAAATTGAAATTACATAACTAAAAGGAACTAATTTCGGTCTGAACGACCAATTTCCGCACAAAATAAATGAACGCCCCAAAAGTACAGTACCTGATCCTGATAACACACAAGCTTACATGGTGGTGGACAGACTTCATATTGACAGCCAACACAAAGATAACCCCATGGCTCTTCTAAACAAACCATAGACATCATTACGATCAATATTACCTCTCAGTGCTTCTCTGTCTTTTGTTTCAGTTTCTTTTTCCTTATTTTGAATGACTCTCTCTCCTCTTGTTCTCTCCTCTATGTCAGTGTGCGCAGCTGCTCCACTCAATGCATACATGAACACTCACTTACATGCACACATATGCTCAGAATATCACACACACTCCAATCTTCTCATATCCTCTCTATCTTACCTCCATCCCATATCCTTTTATACACCTTCTTGCTCGTTTTCCTCTCTTTCTTTTCTCGTCTTTTACTCACTCCTTCACCTCATGTCCCCACACCAATTCACCTTTGTATTGTTCCTGTGCAGTTATGTATCGATGATTGTTTTTTTTATATTATATTTTATGTTATATTGCTGTATTGTAAATGACAAGTATGCATCCAATCTCTCTCTCTCTCTCTCTCTCACTCCCCCCCCCCCCCCCCACACACACACACATCAATCACAGACAGTTTACACTTTTAACAGACTAACATAGCACAGACACTCAACCTAATAACTTGGAATATGCGCTGCATTTGCACTCAGACTAACAGGACAAAAGTCTTAAACCATCTTAATAAACTAAAGGCAGATATCTGTGTTGTACAAGATACTCATTTATCACAATCAGAATCATATGACCTCAAATCTCATCATTATAATCAAGTATTCTCAGCAGCTTACAACAGTGGACAAAGAGCGTTCTCTATGTTAGGAAACAAAAGAATCCTAACTCACCACTCAACAGCTGCTGACTCTGAAAGATAAATTAATTTCCAAACTCTACAGATTGGTACTAACCTCTGGTACTTCTTTAACAATCTCATTAGCTAGCTGGAACACGGCCCTAACCATATCTCCCTCAAACAACTTCTGGTTAGAAATAAATCAAAATATGACTCCCAATACAAACCCACAGCTAAGCCAATATAATGTCATTAAATTGTTCTTATTATTATTATTATTATTATTTCTGCTTATTATTATTAGGATATTTTTAATATTTATTACTACTGCAACAATTCCACTACATCTTTTGTCTTTCCACCACACATCTCGCAGACTACTTAAACATATACTTTTGCCTCTTATAGAAACACACACACACAAACACACACATACCCAACATAACCCAATCTAATTGTAATCTATACTCCTGAACTCTTACCATTTCATTAACTAGGTCATTGTAACTGCTTTATGTTATTATCTTTATGTCTGTCTTTACGTCTATCTTCCATGTTTATGTTATTATATGTTGTTTTTTTGTCACATTGCTTCACCCAATTTTTTTTTGAAATAAATCAATTTAAAATGACAAACCCACCACTCCTCTGAAAACTAAGCTGCTGATTCTCAAGTGTTTGTTGACATCTCAGCTGTGAAGACACAAGCCAAGCTGCAACGTCCCCTGGTAGTCATTGACGTAACTCTTGTCTACTGTCACTGAAAGGCTGTAAGCACTGATACATCACTGGCTGTGTGACAGCAACTAGTTTTTGTTATCAAACCAACAGACGGCAAGGTCATCCAAGTAGCCTCTTGCTCTGATATGACAAGACTTGAGGGCAGGCCGGAGGAAGTGTGGACCTCCCTTGTTTTTGGTGTTTGACCCTGCAGTTAAGTCGCCCTTAGTGAGACTGTCTGGGCCATCTGGACTGTGTTTGCAAGTCAGCAGATAGATGCTCTTGGACAGTGGACAAGCTGAGTAATACGGTGCAAGAAGCCAGTTTGAAGTCATGTGCGTGGCAGCCAGTCACCCCAAGGCACTTGCCAAGATGTCCTCCTCCCTCCCTGCCAGTATGCGGCGTCCTTCCTGGCAGTCAACACTAAAAATAGCCAGGACGGTGACATGACAACATTAGGCCTCCTCAAGGTTACCAGGGCTCTGTGGTAGAGTGGTTGCTACATGTTGATGTTTCACAGCTCAGGGTCTGGTTCTCTGCTCACAATCCCCATCTCTTCTTCCCTCTTACCTTGTTTTTTTCTTCTCCCCTTTCTTTCCAACCATTATTCTGTAATCCCTCCTTCATCTACTCATCTCATCGTATCTTTCTAACCCCTCTCATCTCTTCACTCCCTCTCTTACTTTCCAGTATTTGTCGACAATCTCCTGTCCTCCCTCATCCCTTTGGTCTCCTTGACAACCACTGCTGCATCGCTGCCTTTCTCACATTGCCTTGGTAACCATTATGGGGCCAGTCGCCATGGTAACACAATGTCCCGATTCCATCATCAAGGGCAAGGGGAGATATTAGTGTTGGACAACACATTTTCCCAAAGGACTCTCACTTACACACGCGCACACACACACACACACACTCGCACACACACGCGCACACACACACACGCACACATAATCTCTATCTGCCTTCAACAAACACACCCACTCACAAGCACGGTCCATCCTTTTTATGAGTTATGATTCTGGATCCTTACTTTTTTTACTGCAGAAGTCTTTACTTGAATGATGAGGTATTACTGTAGTTAACATGGTGAGACACATTTCATAGACCATGCAGAAGGAAACAGGCAAGTCATGTGATACTTAAAAAATGTGCATCAGGGGAATATGGCATACACTTTTGTTAACATACTGCAAATGTTATGATGGTTTCCCTCAAACATTACAGGACTAAGAGTCTAAAGCCATGCTAATGGCTCTGTGAGCCTGTACTTGAGCACAGCATGCTAACCTGCTCACAAAGGCAATGCTAACATACTGATGTTAACCATGTTCACCACGCTTGTTGGACAAATTGAAACTTTGACTTAATGGTGGTACCTAATGAAACGTCATCTTGAAGGGAGAAGGAATGTGTTTTATATTTGACAAGACATTTCACTGAAACCCAACATGTCAAATGTACTGGAGGAACTCAGGGGATCTAAGAGATCTATTATCTAACAACTGATATACCAACATTGCCATACCTGCTGCTAGCACAGCCATTTCAATGTCTTGATAAAAAATGAATTATTTCGACAATTTACACAAGCCTCAGCCTACTGAAAAGTTCAACTAGTTATGCTCACTGGTGACATTTTTCTTTTCCTATCAAGTTTGATGTTTTTAAAGTTAGCAGGAAGCGAGTCATTGCCCTCTAATAGTACATCAGTACATACCCTTTTCCAGAGAAAGATAGGCCTACCTTGACAACTTCTTGCCAGGTTTCCATGACATGAATGATTTTAAATGTTTCTAGTGACCCCATGACTTTGAGGTCAGTGAGGTCACCTTGATGTAAAACTAAATCCTTGGATCTGACTCCAATCATTAAACTCGTTCAGCTTTGTATCCTAGTTGGATGGTCAAACACTTTCGGAAGGGATCTCTTTGTGGATAACAATGACTACAGCAAGAATCTGATTTAATGTACACTTGGGCATTTGGCTATTGTTTTTAACAGACTCGTAAAATTGTCCTTTAATGTACCAGCTCACTCAAACAAATGTAGCGAATGTGGTGAATCCAACTTTACACCTCCCACAGAAAATTGAATTAACCTTCTGTCACATGGCCAATGGGTCAAAGAACAAGCCCTGTAGGACTCAAGGGAGACACTAATGGAGGGTTAAGGGACAAGTGGTCAATTTCCAACAGAACGGGTCTTGCACCGCATGGCACAGACTCAGCACTGACCCTTTTAAAGGTCAACATCTCACCCAAAAAGATGTTCAAGATTGAAAGACTCACTTCTTGGACAGAGAGAAAAACGG